TAGAAGAATAGAATATTACTTGAGAAGTCTTGTTTTCGTAGAATAGTTTTCCCTCCCATAGAATAGGTCGATGTGACCTATATTCAATAAATTTAAAAAAAACATGTTTAGATCTTGGACCGGATTGAACACGAGGTCATGTATGTTTGCTGTCTTCTTTTCCATAGTGGAGCTGTGTGAACCGAAAGTGTGTGCTCAAAGGCTTCGTTTCATTTTGGAACACGCCATTGAAGTCGATATAATCCCCCGAGTCTCACAAAACTTGCTTTTTGATTTGAATGTAAAAGCATTGAAGAAACTTGCCTTGCCGTGGCTCCACTGTGTAAAGGCAACACTGTAACTGGCGGTACATCTTTCTTAATCCATTTAAACAAGGCTCTCTCACACGTCGAAGGAAAGCTAAAATTCGAAGTGGTATTTCATTCATTTTATAAAATACAAATTAGGAAATTAGGGGTGTTGTTCAGAGTTTACGAAGACCTTTCAAGGGCTGAGGTGCTATTGAATTTGATTGGATAGGGTACCCTTTATAATAAAAACTAAGCCAATACGCAAACCTTAACATGAAAAACTTCTCACCATGATTAAGAAAAAGCCATTTCAAAACAGTTTCTACTATTCAGGAAGGGTAATTCAAAAGATTCAGAGATTCCTCTCAGCGATGAAATTATGCGTGATATTCCAGCTTGTATTATTTAAATAAACAAACGTCAAATTAATTTTTAAGCTATGGTTAAAAAAAGCAATCATTAGATCCATAGGGTTTTTCGACCTTGCGAGTTTTAAGTGCGAACATAGCGCGAGCTTTAAAAGTTACAACATGAAAGACAAACTGATGGCTCCTCGATACGATCACACGATTGTTATCTTAAAAGGTGCGTTAAAACAGTTTAACACCATACAGTTTTTATGTAATGGGATTTAGGGTTTCTAGCAACTGCTCCCGTAAAATTCATAGGACTTCTACGCCGGAAAAAGAGGTCAACCGAAAAGAATTCGAAAGTTTACAATGCTCAGATTTCGATTTGGCCAAGTTCTATTCCATTACTTAATGTTTTGCGACAAGAAAAAAGACTTTTAGCGCAATTCCTGCTTCCTTTTAAATTCACTGTTACATTTAAAAATAGAATGAAAATAATGGTTCGAGAATATTCCCTCTTCGGGAAGTGCAACTTTTCATATAATGAACTTCACGAAAACTCTTGTTTTTCGATGTCGGAATCTGTAGCAGGCGTTTTTTGGTCTCTGACGAAAGGCTAACGCTCGAACACAAACGCATGTAACTACCTCAGGGATTATATCTTGCCTTTAATTTTTCTATATCTCCGCAACACGCGTGTCCTTTGCGGTTAGTGGTGTTTCGACTTTTTGTCGTGCAAATTTTGTTATTTATGTTACGATGAATAATTTTGTGTAGTAAGACAGCGTGGAGGTTAAGAAAAAATAAAGAAAATTAGTTATTAGTCATTTAAGAAGTTTCTGTGGCTCGACTAGGGAAACGTTTAATTTGATATTCGACACGCCCAGATTTTTGACGTACCTCTTCTAAATTTTCCTCTTATTGAGTATCCATGAAGACGTTAAAAATTACTCTGCTTTCAACGAAGTCTCAACTATCGTATCTCATTCGATCGAATCTGCCCACACTTCAAAGTTAATATGATGTAATTTAATGTACTGTTCATACCTTTTAATGGCATGTTCCTCGTGTTTCATCCATGTTTTATTGTTTTGTTATTTAGTTTAAACAAGTTTGGGTAACAAATTGAATTAGTTAAAGAGAGAGAAGGTTGTGCTAGATTAGTGTGGTAGACAGGACCACAAATAGAAGCACCGATTCTACCCGCTTGATTTCTAAAAACTCCTGGCTCCTTCGCATGAGTTCTCTTGTCCTGCTCGACCATTTCAATTTCTTTCTTGGAGATGTTTATCTCAACTTCTGAACACTTTCGTAAATGCTCAGAATATTTAGATCCAGATTGTTGGGCTTGTAAAAATCTGTTAATACTGATATGCTGCGACTTTTTTAAAATAAACTGAAAAGCGTACGGATCGATTAAACTCCCCAATGCAGCCTTTCCTTCGCACTGGTTCAGCCTCTTAAAAATATCTGACATTTCCTCCGCTGAAATGGCAGGGTTCGTGTCCTGTTCTCCTCTGTGAACAGTTTGAGCTTTATTAGAGTTTCCACCATTACCATCGAAAGACTCAATCTTACTGTCAAGATTTTCTTT